TCACAACAGCAAAAAGATGGAAACAACCTAAGTGCCCATCAGCAGATGAACGGATAAACAAACTATGGTACATCAACACAATGGAATACTATGCAATGATAAAGAACAATGATGAATCTGTGAAACATCTCAGAACATGGAAGAATCTGGAGGGCATTATGCTCAGTGAAGTAAATGAATCACAAAAGGACAAATATGGTATGAGACCACTGTTATAAAAACTCATGAAAAGGTTTACACACAAAAATGAGAGGGGAGGGGTGGGGAAGGAAAACACTAAATAGACAATAGATAAGTGGTAACTTTGGTAAAGGGTAAGACAGTACACAGTACTGGGAAAGCCAGCACAACTTGACCAAGGCAAGGTCACGGAAGCTCCACAGACACATCCAAACTCCCTGAGAGGCTGAATTACTAGGCTGAGGGCTGAGAATCATGGTCTCAGGGAATATCTAGCTCAACTGGCATAACATAATTTATAAAGAAAATGTTCTACATTCTACTTTGGTGAGTAGCGTCTGGGGTCTTAAAAGCTTGTGAGTGGCCATCTAAGATACTCCACTGGTCTCACCCCATCTGGAGCAAGACAGAATGAAGAAAACCAAAGACACAAGGGAAAGTTAGTCTAAAGGACTAATGGACCACAAGTACCACAGCCTCCATCAGACTGAGTCCAGCACAACTAGATGGTACCTGGCTACCACCACCGACTGCTCTGACAGGGATCACATTAGAGGGTCCTGGACAAAGCTGGAGAAAAATGTAGAACAAAATTCTAACTCACACACACAAAAAAAGACAAGACTTACTGGTTTGACAGAGACTGGTGAAACCCTGAGAGTATGCCCCCTGAACTCCCTTTTAACTCAGTACTGAAGTCACTCCTGAGGTTCACCCTTCAGCCAAAGATTAGACTGGCCCATAAAACAAAACAAGACTAAATATGCACACCAGCCCAGGGGCAAGGACAAGTAGGCAAGAGGGGACAGGAAAGCTGGTAATTGGGAACCCAAAGTCAAGAGGGGAGAGTGCTGACATGCCATGGGGATGGCAACCAATGTCACAAAACAATATGTGTATTGTTTAATGAAAAACTAATTCGCTCTGTAAATCTTCATCTAAAGTACAATAAAAAAATACTGAAAAAACATTAGTGCCCACTGTTCATTGCATTTAAATTCCGTCAAATTATGAATAACCTATAAGGGTACTACTGCAAATTTTCTCTTCCTTTTATAAGAAATTAGCTACTGATCTTCACTAAGATTTGAGATGGTTCTTGTCTTCCTGCTTGTTCTCTTTCATGCTGTGTATTTTCTGATTTACAGTGAGCACTGAGAGAGAGATATCCTTCTCCTGAGGACTTGATCACACTATTCTGGGGCTTAGAGCACTCACAACTATGACTTACAATGTGCAGAGCACCAACATGCAAAAAATAGAGGTTAATACCTGGTCACGGATGTGATTGTTCTCATTGAAAAGCTTACTGGCTTATGGTTTATAGAATTGTGAGTACCAGGAGGAGCAGAAAGGAAATATACATTGGAGCCTAGTGACGTTCTCTTGAAGGGCCACTGCCCACATTGTGCATCATTAGAATGTACAGACTGTTGGCTCCAGACACAAACCCACTAGGGCTTTCTAAACCATTTATATTAGCCTTGCTCCCAGAACCAGCTTTATACATTCAGGAACCAAGATTTCAACTGCAAGTACCTCAGTTGGTGTTGACTCATTCATATTCCAAGCAAAAGGTAACATACCATAAACTGCATATTGATAAGCCACCAATGATTAAGGCAACCACATAAAATCTCATTATTTAAAAAATTAAGTGCACTGTGGTTTTTATAACAATATTCCTCATCCACGTCCGACATCATATCGTTTACATGCCAGTCACAGTTAAATCTAATTTTCTATAATCTTGGTAAATGGGAGCTAATCAACAAGTCCTCACTCCAGCTCCAAAGCAGCACATAATACATTTCTGAAATACATTAATAAAGAGAGGATGAGAAAAAAAAAGCTTCCTGACAATAACTGACATTTGTGATGTAGCAGGAAGATTCCCTAGACTCTGATACTATGTTTATTAGATTTATAAATATATACACAGTTTAAAAGGCTTGTAAGTCATTTGTTATTGCTTCAATTATCCCTGAATAGTTACTAAAATTAAGATTAGGGCCACCATTTGTTGAATGTACTGCTTTAAATTCTTAGCTTGCTCTCACATGAACCTCACAACAACTCTGCGAGGTATTATTCTGCATGCCATTATGCAGTTGAGGAAACTGAGGCACAGAGAAGCTAAGTTCTTTGCCCAAAGTTTCATAACTAATCATAAGCAGAGACAATACTTATACCAGCTATAATTCCAGAGCTCAAGCTCTTAACCGTGTGCTTTACAGTTGTCCTAAGTCCTTTCTGCATGATTGCTCCTTAGTTAGATATAGATAGATGGATAGATCAAACGATTTTACGTGGGACTTTTAGGTTATCATTTTGGTTGGAAATGGGAGACCACGATTCTTGCTTGAAGATACAGTAAAACCTGTGAAAGCCTGAACCTGTGTAAGGTGGACAACTGTTAGAGAAGGAAAACTCAAATATTTTCCACTAATAAAGAACAATAGCAAGTGGTTGAGACTACACCCTGTCAAAGGTGGCAAACTTGCAAGACCCGGAAAAACAAGGCAGTTCCGTTGAGTTCCAGCTCTCATGGGTTTCACTGTATATTTCTATAGCAAAACCTGTTTTCACTTAGATGGTACAGTTATTTGCAGTGATTTATTTGGGTGGGTTAACAGTTTGGAAGGGATAAGGGCTAAAACCCTCCCAAGCCATCCTTTGGCACTCCTAATGTGGATCACATAACGAGATACCTAATATTATTTTCCTTTTGGTTCCCTCAAAAAGTGATGTGTGCTAGAATATCTGTCCTAATTTACACCTTCAAGTAAAACAAGTACTGTGGACCACAGTACTAAGTTATAATTACTTTTTTCCTCCTGATTTTTCCCCCTCCAGCCTAATGAAAGACAAACAAGCTAGTGCTGTTGTTGTTGTTGTTAGGAGCCGTGTAGTTGGTTCCGACTCATAGCAACCCTAGGTACAACAGAACAAAACACTGCCCTGTCCTGCGCCATCCTCACAATCGTTGCTATGCTTGAGCCCATTGTTGCAGCCACTGTGTCAATCTATCTTGTTGAGGGTCTTCCTCTCTCTCACTACCGCTACACAATGCCTAAATAATTCTTGATTAGATGTGGGGAAAAATGTACCTACACTGGCTGCAAAGCATCTTGTATGCAGAGACCCTTTTGTTACACATTGAAACCTGTGAGAGCCAGAACCTGAAGGGATTGCCTTGTTTTTCCGCATGTCACAAGTTTTCCGCCTTTGAAAGGGTGCAGTCATTTTAGCAGAAAATATTTATTTGTGTTTTCCCTCTCTGACAGGCTTCCACCTTACACAGTTTCCGGCTTTCATAGGTTTTCCTGTACATCTTACTTCTCATGGTCATGCAGAATTTGGACCTTGGTAGTTGATTCTTTCTCTTAGGAAACACAGGTGATAGTGTACAAAATCAAAAACTGTTGGAGGCACGGAAAATTATTCGTGTCTAGGCAAAATACTGGAGTAGGCAAAATTGTTCTTGGCACTATATTTCTCTCTGAGGTACTTAATCCAAGTCCCAGTCTTATTCTGAACAGGGAACGTTAATACTAACCCCCATAAGATGTATCTGAGAGGTAAAAGGCTGTCACAAACTCAGTACCAACCTGGTGTCCTCAGGACTCAGTGGACTCTGGAATTGCTCAAAACCGGTTTGAATCAGCTAGCTAGGTGGCCTTGGGTAAGTAATTTAATCTCTCTGCTCCCCAGTTATCGCCTCTGTAAAACACGAATGACAACATCTATATCCTCGAGACGTAGTTTTGTGGCTGAGGGGTCTATTCCTGTGAAGCTGCTCTTTGAGAGGGTGACTTGTGTAGTTACTCTTCACTTTCCCCCCCGCCAATGATAAAGATGTGCTGTATGATTTTTAAACATGAAAAATGTTAAGTGCTATTCATCTGCAACGAGTAATCTGAACATACACACTTGCAGACCAAAAGGCTGATTTAACTCGAGGCTTAAAAAAAGAAATCATATAGCACATTAAACAGAATGGCATACATTTTTCAAATGATAAAAAAAAATTCAGCTCATCTACATTGTGCAACTAGCAAAAATGACATTTAGAAAGTGTGAAAACCGTGCTTGAGAAAACGCTTACATGTAAAAGGAAGAAGACAAAAGTGTGGTGATTACGTATCATGGGGGAAAAAAAGGAAATTACCTAACCTGGACTGGAGTGAAGTTGTAAGAGTACTTATTTGTGCCATAAGAAAAACATAAATTCATTCATCAAATATATGTTGAGCGTCCACTACCTGCCAAACTCAAACCATTCACAACCATCAACCATTCTTCGCTTTTTCGGAGTGCTGCATCTTTTCTCCGTAAGGACCGCGGGAGGCCACCCGTCTATCTTGTTAACACCTTGCACAAATACTTTCAAAGGTCGCATCTCTGAGCAAGAGAGAGCAAGCCGCCCCTTCGCCTTTATGCGTCAACGTCACTGAATATCGAAAACGCAAACTACGTAACCTACGGTGTCCCACTAGGAAATGGTGATGCGACAAGCCCTAACATATTCCGCCCACATGTGAGATGGAGCTTTTCGCTTCAGCCGTCCCCCCTGCCCGCTTCCTTCCCTCCGGGGGTGGGGCCTAGAGAGAGTAGGAGGTGTGTGCTTAGGAGGTGTGTTTTTGTTTTTCCCGCCCTTTCTCCCCTCTTCTTGCTCTCACAGCATTCATTGAAGGTGAACGTAGAAGGAGTGGATAAAGTTTAACCAGAAGAAAACCAGAACGGAAACAAACGCGACGGGCGTCTGGTTCGGGAGCCACTGGGGCGCGCGCGAGGGGGCGGGCCCGGAGGCGGGGCGAGGCCGGAGGCGAGCCGGGGCGGGGCTGCGGTTGCGGTCCTTGCGCCCGTGGCTGCCGAGGCGCAGGCGGTGGCGAGTGGGTGAGTGAGGAGCCGGTGGGCGAGCGGCTTCTTGGGTTCGGGCTGCCGGGACGGCGGTGGGAGTTCTCCCCAGGGCTGTACCTGTCCTCTCTTCTCCGTCTTCCCTGTCGGAAGCCGGGCGTCGGGTTTTCCAGCCTGAGGACTAGTGGAGTTGCCTGCATCCGGGCCCCGGGCTACCCGCAGGCGGCGCAGAGATAGGGTATCCTAGGGATCGGGCCTCTCACCCGCTTTCCCGCCCGCAGACCCCGAGTGGCTTGGCTTGGGGGAAGGCCAGAGGGAGGACAGCGCGCGGCTCCTTCGGACCAACCAAGCCGGGGTCCGAGAGGAACCGCAGACGGTCCCTGCCCGCGAGAAGATACTACGGGGTTGGGGTGTGGGTGCGAACATAATCCACGCCCACAGAATTTCAGTAGATGTTTCTAAGAAGTGCTGTTGTCTTGTGAATTTGGGCAGCGATTCTAGACCAGGCTGTGCTTCTATTCTGTGGTGCGTGGTCTGGTTGCTTCACAGCTCTGGGGTTACACAGACTTCTTAAAGGAAGTGACCACTGTGACTGGTGCATACTTAGCTCATGGTATCAGTTGCAGAGAGAAGTGCACTGATTACACATCTGCTGTGTCCGCGTGGGGTCTGTCTGGCCACGGTGAACTCTGCCAGACTTGTGTATTCATGAGAAGAAAGGTCATTGTCGTGGTTTGAATTATGCCCCCCCCCCCACAAAAATATGTGTATCGGTTTGGCTAGGCCATGATTCCTGGTAGTGTGTGATTTTCCTGTAGGTTGTAAACCTACCTCTGTGATGTTAATGAGGGAGGATGGGTGGCAATTAGTAAGGCAGGACCTGATCTACAAGACTGGATTGTGTCCTGAGGCAATGTCTTGAGATAGAAAAGACAGAAGTGAGCAGTGAGACAGGGGGACCTCATACCATCAAGAAAGCAGTGCCAGGAGCAGAGCATGTCCTTTGGACAGGGGTCCCTG